ATATATATATATATATATATATTGCTATTAACCCCAATATTATTATACTAAAACAAATCTCAATACACATAATAACTGTCAAAATACGTAATGATAGCCGCTCAACGATCAAGTAAGCATATAGTGAGATAACCAATCAGCATCACGGAAAAGCGGCAACAAATAATTTCGAGAAATGCGAGTTATCGACTTAACGTGCACTTTTTTAGATAGAGAAAATTTGTTATTTTAAAATTGATAATGATATGATAAAATAAAATACATTGCGGATCGAATATCTTATCCGAATTTAGATCCGGATCCTAACTCAGATCCGAATCCAAATAATTCGGATATCCGGATTACCCGAATAATCGTAATAATCCGATTTTGAGATTCGAATTGAAACCGAATATCTGGATATCCGAATACTTAGAAACCCTATTCTATATCTTAGTGTGATAGTTAGTATACAATAAAATCTATCTAATTATCTACGTTTTATCAATGATTGGCTGACAATGAGCGTAATTCGAAGCATGAAAATGTTTTTGAAGTTCATCGAGTCTGGGATACGATGAGAAATCGAAACTATACATATTAATTTCTATATATATATATATACGTAGATTAGATAGATAGAAGACACTTTTCTAATATTTACTGATATGCCTATTCCATAACATTTATCATTACATATACTGTGTAAATTTCTAAAAAACTCCTATTAAATAATTTTTCGCTAGAAAATGTTAAAAGTAAAATTATTACGTTAAACTTATAAGTTATAAAGATAATTGCATTTTTGTAGATTTCCTGTAAAAAAAAAAAGAAAATTATGTCTTGTATTTATTATTGCGACGAACTTATTTCGTCTTATATATGTGTATATAATATTAATAAATAGATTTATAATTTAATAATTTTAACTCGACAAATATACGTATATTAACGATTGACATTATATATATATCTTCTGCAGATAAATAAAAAAATTCTAAAAATACAAATATCAAAATTACACGATTATGCATTGATATTTTCTAGTTCAATTAGTTTAAAAGTTGTCTAGTCGAGAACACGTACAATCGAGCAGTAAGATTAACAATACAATTAAGTTAGAAAGATGAAACATAAATTACTTTCCTCGAAAATATTAAAAAGTGCATAACACACACATTAATTTTTAAAGATTATTATTGATACGTTATTTATAGTTCAAATAGTGTATAATTTTACCTAGAAAGAAATAGGTATATATTTTAAGTTAAGCGAAAGTAACAAAAAAGGTAGCGCAATCCAGTGTCGCCAGAGAAAAGGTCTTGTATCAGTTACAAGTAGTAGTTCTTGTTGGATTAATTTTCCTCTCATAAACTAAAAAGTAGCAGACATTTTTTGCTAATAATAAATTTCCTGTAAATAAAAAAATATTTGTTCAGAATTTTCATTTAGAAATTAATTTCCTGTTATATAGATATCTTTATACCTAAATAAGTCATACATCCTGTATGTGTTGCGTCATATTTTTATCATAAATTTCCCTCTTCTACAAATATTTAATTTATTTTATATCTTACCGAAACATTTATTTCCTAATGTGCTGTATTTATGTTTACAGCACGCATACTTTTATGGACTGGCAATGTGCTATAGTTTCTGTATAAGAAGCAATTCGGGAGCAGGAGAGAGAAACATACCTTTTAGCAGGTTTTCTTTCTCAAAGTGTCCGGAAACACACATTGCGCATGTCAGTGAAACCGCGTATGGCACGTTGGAAACGTGCTATAAGCCCGTTCAGCAGACCGATCAGATCAGTGAGCGTTCAGTGATTCTTCGTTAGGATTGGTATATTCACTTAGATTCAGCAAAGAGCTAAAGGCAAAAACCAATCATATTAAAGAATCACTGAGCGCTCACTGATCTGCTTTGTCTGCCAGTCCATACTTATAAGGTCTATGGCTGTAATAAACGATAACGATATTACCACAATATACAGTATGCTGTATGATACCGTTACGAATTAATCTGACAAACTACATATGCTTGTTCATATTTTTGTAAACACACTGCGAGATCAGCGGTAGGGCAGCAATAATTAAGTTACTGCGTATATATATCTTCACGAAAGTTTTGCTTTTTGTAATTGACGTGATACCGACCGCAAGAGAACACGTGCGAGTGAAATTCCAAACAATTAATTGACTTCGTGAACGAAGAGGCCATTGACCCGCGAGCATGTCTTTTAAGGATCTGAAAGTGGAACGCGTCGAGGGTGAGCTGGCGGCCGAAATAGCAAATTGGTATCCGTATCTCAAGCGCGGCTTCGTTAAAATCGGTCAGAAAAAATGGTTCTTATCGTACAGATATGTCGAAGAAGGTGGCGATTTATACGATTTCGAAGTTCGTCCGGACGATACATGGATCGTTACCCATCCTAGATCAGGCAAGCAAATTATTTTCACTGTTTATTATAGATTTAACATTCAGGCATTATCATATATATGTCTTGAGATTCTCTATATTTTCTCGATTTTTGAAAAAGCTGTGAAATGCGATATATTTGTCAAATAAAATAAAAATTTTAAAGTTTCTATTCGGAAGCAGATGTGAACTTATAAAGGACCGATTATTTATAATAGAGCACAAATTTTAATCAAGACATTCTAAAGATCTATAATAAGGACATTATAATTAATAATCTATTCTGTTGTCGAAGTTTACATTGAAATTTAAACATCTGAAAATTTCTTGCTCAAAAAAACATTTGCACGACCATATATCTTATTTTATCGTGATAAAAGCTTATAAAGTTAAAATTATGAAAATAATAATTATAAAATTAAATTTAAATAATAAAAATCAGAATAAAAATACATATCACGAACGAAATAACCTTTTTTATATCTAGAACGTTAATTATAAAACTTTGCACAAATTATATGTATCATTAATTGCTTGTTATATGAGAAATTACAATGTTAATATAAATTTGATTTTTGATTAAAACATTTTCCAAACTACCATGTATTTCACGTATAGTGTGACATAAAAAATAATAAATGTCTAAAATATTACTACTTTTAATTTATACATTCTTAAATAAGAGGGTATAATATTATGTATTTTACGTACAGTGTGATATAAAAAATAAAAAATTCTAAAATATTACTATTTTTAATTTGAAAATTCTTAAGCAAGAAAGTATAATGCCAAGATAACTTTATTTAGAAGCTTTATCAGATAAATGGTAGGAAAGTGATAAGAAATGAGAGGAAGATCGTTGAAAATCGGTACCGCTGGTATACCGGTATATTGCTTCGTTTTTTAATTATATTTTTTACAACAATAACTAAGCATAGAACTTTGAAAACATAAATACAAACTAGAAAGTGTCTCTTATCAGACGAAATAGCAAATTTGTATAATATCACAAAACAATTTAACAATGATATATCCAATCGTTATTTAAACATAATTTACAAAAGAAAATCATAAGAGAGTAATTTTCGCATTTGTAGAATTCGTTTTTTGTTCATAATATATAAAAACAGATTACAAACATGAATTACGGATTTTTCCTTCTTTTTATTTAAAGAGATCATGTTTTTATCAATGTATTAATAAAGTACAACGTTTAGTTTTTGAGAAAATAAGTAGATGTTTCTTTAGGAAACCTACGTCGGTACCGATGGCTTCTCTACTTTTTGTTTAACAATCCATTCAATGATTTATTTTACATAATCGTTTTGCGAGATTTTTATTTCAAATTTTTAAGAAGTAAAATGATATTTTAATGACATTATTTCAAAAATTATGCGTACTAAAAAGTAAAACATTCAATGTTTAGAAAAACGTCATCATTGACATTGAAATTTGAGTCAATGTTATCCAAAATTTTAGGAAAAATATAAAATATTGAGAATATTGAAGTTGCTAAAAGTGATCCAATTAATTAGACGTGAATTCGAAATTTTGCAAGTTTGTGTTATTGTTAGAAATATTAATTGGATTTACGTATTGTATTGATTAGGTACGACGGTGACGCAGGAACTCGTATGGCTGGTGGCAAATGACATGAATTTCGATGAGGCACATCGAAAATATTTAGTAGAGAGATTTCCCCATATAGAGTATAGTATTATTTATATATGATTTATCTTACATGATAACTGCAGAAATATACATTATCTATTTTTTTACATTATAAAAAAGTCTCTCATGTTAATACGAACTAAATTTAATTAAAACTGCATTTGAATTTTTAAGTGTTGTTTTTTCCTTGTTTCTACTTTTCTTATCTTTAATGTATAAGAAATGTCAACAAATTAGATTCCACTTTAGATTTAATAAAAATATAGAAAATTCGAATTATCCTTCTGTTTTCCTTTTACGTGAAATAATGATTACGGAACAAAATTGTTAAATTTTCTGAATTAAAAGATACTTTCAAAGAATAATATATAATTTTTTTTGTTTTAGAATAGGAGCAATATATGACGATATCACAGCGAAAGATTGTTTTGGTAGAACCAGTATGGAGAAATATAGCGTCGAATTCGGACGAAATCAGCCTTCGCCGCGTTTCATTAAAAGTCATTTACCTCTCGAACTATTGCCGACCGTCGTAAATAGTACTTGCAAGGTGTGTTAATCAAATATTTTGTAAGTTAAATTCACATTTATATAGACGGTACATTTATAAGAACGAAAAAGAATGTAAATATAAACGTTGAGAAGAAAATTTAAAAAAATGAAAAAAATAGTTCCTTCAAAATTCTTATTTTCTCATTTTCTCATCGAAAAATTTGTCATTTATATACAATATTAAAATTATTACATTCAGCCCATTTAAATTTAAAAACAAATTCTTCAACTCAATTCATGCATTACGAAAGAATACATTACAAAACATATTGAATTTCGACGAAGCATTGAAAATACGAAGTATTGAAAATATTTATAATAGTAGAGAGACTTCTCTCTGTGAAATACAGGATGATTTAGAGAGTAGATATTAAGGCTGCGTTCTTAGTTAACGTTCGCGAATATTATTTCCTTGTTTAACATTTAATAAACAACTTGGAATCATAAAATGAGTGTTGCAAGCGTTATGGAACATAGCCTAAATAATGTAAAAGACTTCATAGGGCGTGATTCTGATTCCTCAATGTCAAGGTAAATTTAAGATGTTACATGATTTAGTTTTAAGTACTTAATGGCTTAGTTTCAAAGATACAAAGTATCAAAGTCGAAAGACAAATTTGGCGTTTTTCCAAAAATTTCGAAAATTACTTGCGTTATTTTAATAAAGTTTTATGTATGTTTCAAATTTCATTAGTCTTGAATTTGTGTAAGAAGTTATCTCTTAAAATCTTTTACATTAATATCCATTCTATATATATACATATATATTACAGGATGGCCTATCAAAAACAAAACAGACTGAATAACTCCTACAAAAATGATTTTGCGAAAAAAAACGCAAAAACACGTCGATTTTTATTCGAAGAGAGACATCTTTTGACGTATAATTCTTACCCTCAACTTTAACCCTCTAAGCGGGGATGTCAATCTCTAAAAAATTTCAATTGGAAAAGAGTCAAATAATATAATAATATCATTAGGAAGGTCTTTCAATTCTCTACATTCCTACGTTAGATTTTTTAAATTTAATCAATTTGTTTAGAAAATACATGGTATTAATCTAAAACAAACAAATGTATCGTGAAACACATATCATTGTGTAATCGTATTATCTTTAAATTCGATCAATTTGTTTAGAAAATACAATGTATTAAATCTAAAACAAACAAATCTGTCGCGTAATCCATATCGTGTAATCTGAAAATATCCAAAGTGGTTATGAATTCCAATTGTTCTTTTATGCTCTAATCACTAATGTTTCGAATAAAAATTGACGTATTTTTGCGTTCTTTCGAAAAATTATTTTTGTAGGAGTTATTCAGTCGGTTTCGTTTTCGATGGGCCACCCTGTATAAATTGTATATGTGTATATATATGTGTATATATAT